GGTGTTAGAGTTTTATTCTGGAATCTTTTGTTTTTTTATTCAACCTCAAAATATCTGCCTTCTAGAAATGTCAGCAAACACCAGAGGTACAGACCAGCCAAGGAAACGGGTAACTACAGTCTAGAAGTGTTACCTCTCTCTGAACTTTCTGAGCCGTCTCCTCAGCCTCCCTCAGCTGCTCTTTCAGGACGTTCAGCTCCGAGCCGCAGACCTCCTCCTGGACCTCCTCCTGATCCTCTGGACCGGATTGGGACAAGCTGATATAAGAGTCCGCCTTCACCTGGTCCTCCTGCTCAGGCTTACTGTCGCCCTCGCCCCTGACTGCCAGGTACACGTCATCACATCTGGACACAGTCAGAGAAGAAAGGCGGGTCATACTGACCGACACACACACACACAAACACACACACAGGTGAGTCATTAACGTCAGCAGATTGATTGACAGCTGGTCGCACCACTCACATGTCTCGCTGCTTCAGTTGCTCCACTTTGCTGCTCAGCTCTTTGTTTTTGTTGCTCAGAGACTGTTGTTCACCTTTCAGAGAGAGAAACTCCTCCTTCACCTGACTCACATCACCTGAACACACACACACACGTTATTAACAGAGAGGAGTAGTGGTGATAGGTGTGTGTGTGTGTGTGTGTGTGTGTGTGGGTGTGTGTGTGTGTGTGTGTGTGTGTGTGTGCTCACCCTGCGTCTGTGCGTCCTGGCTCTTCATGTTGATCTCGGCCCTCAGCGAGGCGATCTCCAGCTCGTACTCCTGCGTGCTGCCGTGGAGACGCTGAAGCTCCGCCCTCAGCTTGCACAGCTCCTCCTGCATGGAGGCAATGTCGTTCTCGCGCTCCGCCGCCGCCTCCTCCGCCGCCTGCTGCAGCAGCACCACCTCCTCCTGGGCCGCACGCAGCTCCTCCAGAGCCTCCTCCAGCTCGCTCTCCTTCTCCTCCTCCAGGCTGTCCATCTCCTCCTGCAGCGCCCTCTGCTGGGCTGGAGGAGCAGTTGAAAAGTTTCTTTCTGATCAGTTTTTTTACACCATTTTCCAGTTACAAAATGTTTTATTTTCTTACTACTTTCTATCTCAATTTAACAGTTTGGAATCAGAACAGCACATCTATCCATCGGTCTGTTTTTTTGCAAAGTTGCTAAAATAGATGTTGGCTGAAAGATGTGTGTGTGTGTGTGTGTGTGTGTGTGTGTGTGTGTGTGTGTGTGTGTGTGTGTGTGTGTGTGTATGTGTACCCTGCAGTCTCTGGATCTGTCTGGTGAAACTCTCGGCCTGATGAGCGCTCGCCAAACGCTCGTCCTCCAACAGACCTGAGACCAGAGGAGGACAGAGGAGACGATGTGATCTTTATCTATTTATTAAAAGTATATTTAAACACTTTTTCACAGTTCTGTGATTGTGAACTCTAAAAGATCATCGTGGTAAACGTTCTGACCCTGCAGCTCCAGGAAGCTCTCCTCGTGTTTTTGGGAAACCTCCCTGGTCTCCTCCAGCTCCAGCAGCAGCTGTAACATCTGAGCTCTCAGCTCCTCCAGCTCCTCCTCCTCCTCCTCGTCAGAACAAGTTAGGTGGGTTTGTCCTCCTTCAGCTCACACAGCTCGTCTGCAGACAGAGAGGACGATGTCACATTTATTGACCTCGGGATAACAACGTTAGTTTCCCCCTCGACAATTTGTCCATTTGTTTTCTCGAGAAATGAACTCGCTATCATCGGGAGACCAGCGTTGTTAACCCGAGAAAACAAGATCAATAAGTCCAGATCCCGACCTCTGATCCCCCACTCTCTCCTCCCAACATGTCCTGTCTCTCTTCAGCTGTCTTCTCTAATAAAATCAAAAAGGCAAAAGAATAACTTTTAAATAAATGTATGTATGTTTGTCCTCTTTGGGCTTCCGTATTTAAGGTACTGAACCAAACTCCATTCATAAAACAAGCGTTTCTGCTTCTATTTTGCATTTTTCTTATTAAATAAAGTAGCAATGTCATGATGTTGTGTTTTCTAAAAGCTTTGTTCAGACAGGAAAGTTTCGGCTCCTGTTTCAAACCCTTAAGTCAGCTTCCTGCACAGACCCTTTCAAATTAAAAGCCTGCAGAACAGTCACTGTGCATGCACTCAACAAAAATCATGAAATATTTACCATTGTTAGAAGCATTACTGTAGATAAAAAAGACGGACTGACCGGAGGAGTCGAGGACCTCCTCTATGAGGGGGGGCAGGCGGAGTCCGTCCATGTTTCAGCTGATGGAGCAGAGAGGCCGCGCTGCTGCTGCAGAGAGATGGAGGATCACAGCTACACACAGAGGGGTAAGGTGCGGGTGAGGACGAGGCAGACGCGGCCCTGTGAGGGTCCTCACGCTCCGGGAAGGCCGAGCAGCTGCAGCCCCTTCATCCTGCTGGAGCTCAGAGATGACTGAGGACAAGAGGAAGACGGATGGATGGAGAAGGAGGAGGAGAGGGGGGAGGAAGAGGAGGAGGAAGATGTCAGAGAGAGAACTGCGACACACCACAGCTCCACCGATACTGCATCACACAGGCCGATACTTACACAGACTCAAGCTGACTGCTCTGGATTACATTATCACTAAGATTTATTATAATAACATTTTTTTATTTTTAGGATCTAATCTTTTCTATCAGCTGGGAAAATCTTTCAAATGATTCTAACCCAAAGATGCTAAAAATCTCTCCTGGACAGTTAAACATTCATCTGTGTGTATGAATCTTCTTTGGTGGGACTTGTCTGTTGGACAGTAACGGTGCTGTGAAAAAGAATTTCCCCTCGGGGACAATAAAGTCTAAAGTCTAAAAGTCTAAAGTCTATCTACATTTAAATTCAGATCGTCTGTTCAAATCATTCCCGATCATCTGTAACATGAAGACTACAATACCCATGATCCTCAGCTGCTGGCTTTGTCTTCATTGAACGGCTAACAGAGGCGGACTGTTTGAAGTAGAGTTGTACCAAATTTTTCGGTATTTAAATTATTTTCGCTTTTAAACAATAAAATTTTGAATATTTTAATGATCAGTCGTATAAAAAGTGCAGAAGATCTAACAAACTAAATCAATTTGATAAGACAGGCGAGCTCCTGGAATGTTTCCCACATCGCCAATGTAAAATATTTATTCAACTAACATGTTATCTTTTTCCTTTTCTAGATCTTATCTGGTTATAAATTAAACACTAACGCCGACAGAAACAAACATCAGAGAGAGAGAGGACACATTGGTGACCTGTCATCCTGCTGCGGGGAAGGTCAGACGAGGCGATTATTTGCATGCTGCAGAAACTGCCTTTTCATCAGCAGGCGGGGAGGCTACTCAGACAGAAGTGATTGTACCCGACCTAAAAAGCCTCTGCATGTTTCTAATAAGCTCCACGAGCAGAAACGTGCTCAAACTAGGATCAATATTGGAGATGCTTTTGAAAAATGGAGAGAGGTTAGAACACAGAAAGGTTTACAGACCCATGCAGAGCTGGATAAACACTGAAGCTTCAGAGTCCACCACATGGTGACCTGAGTGAGCATCCACTCTAGAGAGGGGGGGGGGGGACAGCTCTCTATGATGTTTAGAATTTAGCCTGCAGTACTCATTTTAACCACTAGGTGTCAGAGTTACATACTGCTCCTTTAAGACGTTCATATTGATCCCAAAACAGCTTTAAGTATACGTCTGACTATGCAGAATATCCAGAAACTAAAAGACTGTAGTATTTCAGAAAATGCTTTAAATGATAGTAGAGTATAGATCTAAAGAACAGATATAACCTCCATGAGCTCTCAGAGTAAACGTGGTCATGAAGCGTGATCATCAGCTGATCTCTGCAGCTCCGACTTCTCTCCCTCTGAATGACCTTCCTTTGTTTTTGTCCTTTCACAATAAATCATTTAAAGACTCTCTGTGTGTTTCCATCGTCTTTCTGCAGCAGACATCCAACACACACACACACACACACACACATAAACGACACATCATGCTGCACACACACACAATAATAAATACCTGGTGAAGAGATGCAGATGGTGCAGCTCAGTCTGCTGCAGCTCTGTTTCCTCTTTACGGCTCCACGCAGTGCTCCCTCCTCCTCCTCCTCCTGTTGTCCTATATTTCCTCCTCAGCATCAGCTCGGCTCTCTGTGTGATGCAGAGTGACGTCACTACATGCTGCACGCACGCAAGCACGCACACATGCACACATACACGCACACACGCCTTGACAGGAATACACAATCAGGCTGCATGATGTGATTTAGTAACTGTGTGAAGACTCAAGGACAGGTGTGTGTGTGTGTGTGTGTGTGTGTGTGTGTGTGTTCATCCTGCAGAGAGGAGGATGATTCTGCGTCAAATATTTCAGATTATTTTCATGAAATATTAATCTAACCTCATGAATATTTGTTTGGTGTTGAATTATAATTTTCTTTTTTGAAAGAACAAATAACTTGAATTCATTAATGTTTGATTTATATCCCCTGGTCACGGTCGCAACCTTCCCTGGTTTTTACGTCTAATTGAGTGACACTGTTGCTGTTGCCATGGCAACAAACAGGTGGGGGATATCGTGTATCATGTTCATAATAAAATGTTAACACTCCTCCACACTAACACACTGGAGGTGTCTCGCTGGTTAGAAAAAGGAGACGCAGATGAACTTCCAGCAGCTTTCTGAGCGGTTGCTAGGCAACACAAGTCCAGGGTCCAGGGCCTGGATGATGAAAGGATGACGAGGAAGAGCAAACAAACTACAGGAGCAGAGTCTGACGTCAACTGTGAGACGACTGCTAATTAAAAGAGAATTTATTTGAAATGTGTGACCGACAGGAGTCTAAAGGCATGAAGGTGTCATTCCTCCTGATGGCCACAAGGGGGCAAAAAATAATGCCTTAAACTGTTTTGATAAATTCATTAATAAAACAATCATTTTTAAATGTCACAGACAACCAGTAGTCACGAATTAAGAAACTTTAGAGCAAAAATTTGTTTATTTTAAAGCTGTAGACTGAAGAGAAAAACATCTCATGAGGGGACATTAGAGATTTTTAATTATTGTTTTGTTATTTCTGACCCAGTTTTAATGTGTGTCACTAGAGGAGTTATCTCTGCTTACAAACACAAACAGCTGTTAAATGATTCAAACACTTCATGCAATGCAAGTAATGATATGTGCAATTTTTTACAAGTTTGATGGGAAACTGAAATCTCTAAAAAGTTTATCTGACGGTGTTATAGCTGCGTTGTGTTGTGTGTCGCTGTGCAGAGAGTTACATAAGAGCTTCAAACAAAACTGCAGAGACTCTGAGAAACTCTTCAGATTCACTTTGTTCTTCAGGATCACATGAAGAGACAAACTGCAGCTCGGACTCGACAGGTGTACGAGAGGAATGAATACATAAAAAAAATGGCAGGACACGGAAACAAATCCAATTAAGACCGTGTGCAGTGTTTGTATGACTCTGCAGTATTAGTGCTGTGCAGTATCAGTGTGTATGACCTGGTTTCTGCTTCCTACAGAGAACCTTAAATACATCAAGAGATGAGCAGCAGAGCATAGGAAGCATTTTCAAAAGAAAGGAGGAGAAAGGTTGCATTGACAGCTTGGTTCAGCTCAGGCATCCCGCTTCCCTGAATGGGAAAATCAGTTTAGATAATAGATGGATGGATATAACTATATTATTTTGACGATCTGACGATCCCAGCACGATCTTGATTTAATGTTGTTCAGTATTTTAGGTGTACTGTGTGTTTTGTGCAATTGTTGAGTAATAAAGTTCAACATGCTGTACCATATCAGCTTCTTTCCTCAGGCTGTTACCTCCACTCTCCTCAGTTAAAAACAAAACAGAAATGTGACTACATGATGCACACACACCACACATTCCAATCTGCACATTGCACTTCACACTGTTTACATTATTTTGTATATTCAAATAATTATTTTTTTAAATTTGACATGATATTCTATTTTACTGTATTTATGTGTATTAGTAATTTGAGTGTTTATTGCACGGCCTTGCGGAACAGTCTTTACATTTCTCTGAACATCTGTATGAGCTGGTGACAAATACAAATCTTGAATCCGTTTGTGACTCCATGGAGGAAGCAGCACTAAGGCGCCATCTAGTGGAGAGATGCCGCGTTGCAGCCACAGTCCAGACGAATCTGCTGACAGAATTATCTAACTGCTTTTATAAAATGTTGTCGTTTGTTTTTTGTGTCATAGCCGACAAAATAATATATGTGTGATTGTCTCATAACGTTTATGTTTCTTTATTTATTGTTTTCTGTCCCTCTCTCTTTAGTCGAATCAGCTGCAGTGAACTCAAAGCTACGTAAACGCAGTTTTCATGTGTTTCACAACCGGCTCAGTTTGACTTCATGTGTGAACCACACAGGCTCTGCAGGCTGAAGGTGAGTTATTCTGTACGATGTGTTCTTCATTTAATATGAAAAGACAAACGTTTAACCTGAGTTCACCTGTTAGCACTGTATGCTAAGTTAGCTTCCCCGCAGGTTCACGTTAAGGTGACTGAGGGCTTCTCTGACTTTAGTTTTCCGTTACATTTAAACCAGTTACATTATTATAACCCACACCTTCCCCTAACATGGACCTGATATCTCTAATTAGTAACCCTGATACAAGACGGTCTGGTTACACACGGTCACTTTAAAACGTTACTGGTGTTACGTTTTAAACAGTGACCGTGTTAACTGATGACTTTCAGACGGATGCGTTCTCGTAGTTACAGATGCTGAATGAAAAAGTCCTCAAACCTTTAAGTTAAGTTTCCATTTCAATCTAAAAAAAAAAAGTCAATAAATCTGCTTTTAACGGAAGACTAAAAGAGGCCCTTTACAGTTGAATATCTGTTTTAATTACGAAACTGCGCACGCATTCCGCTGTAAGTCATCAGTTAACACGGTCACACGTTAAACCGCAACACCAGCCCTGTTTCGCTAGTACAGCAAAGTTTACAATTTTCCTGTTCGGTGTCAATTAACTGATTAAACCGTGAGAAGAATTGAGACGTTGTTTTGTTCATGTGTTTTTGTTGCAGGTGTTCTGGAGGTGAGGATGTTGGGGCTCAGGTGCATTGTGGGTAACCTGCATGGAGGAGGCAGACTCCTGAGAAGTCTTCCTCACGTCCAGAAGTCGTGTGTCTCCTCCTCCTCTCTGACATCACAGCGGGTCAGCCTTCATCGTGGCCTTCCTCCGCCCGCTGCGAGGCGTTTCCTGTCTCAGGATCGCGGCTCTTCCGCTCGTTCCGCTCGGTTCAAGCTGCAGACTCGTGTGGCGGTGACTCTGGCGTTCGGCGGCGGTCTGATGGCGGTGTGGTGGTACGTTTACTCGGAGAAGGAGCAGAAGCTCCGTCAGCAGCGTCTGCAGCAGCTGCAGCAGGTCGCTCTGGGTCAGGGTAACTTCAGCCTCCTCGACCACACGGGGCAGCGCAGGACAAAGAGAGACTTCCTGGGCAGCTGGGCGCTGCTGTACTTCGGCTTCACACACTGTCCCGACATCTGTCCGACGAGCTCGACAAACTGAGCGCTGTGGTGTCCGCTCTGGACGGGGACGCCGCGCTGCCTCCCGTCCAGCCGCTCTTCATCACCGTGGACCCCGAGAGGGACGACGTGCCCGCCCTCGCTCGCTACGTCAAAGACTTTCACCCCCGTCTGGTCGGACTGACGGGGACGCCGGAGGAAGTGAAAGAAGCGGGGCGGGACTACAGAGTGTACGCCAGCCCCGGACCCAAGGACGAGGACGGGGACTACATCGTGGACCACACGATCCTGATCTACCTGGTCAGTCCTGACGGGCTGTTTTTAGATTATTACAACAGGATGAAGAACCAGGACCAGATCGCAGAGAGCGTCAGGAACCACATCAGGAACCACGTCCCACTCGCAGACACCTGAACGCAGCACGGGGAAAAAAACAACGCATTCACAAACATCGCATTCACAAACACCTGAACGCAGCACGGAGATAAAAACAACACTCTCAGAAACACCTGAACGCAGCGCAGGAATAAAAACAACACTCTCAGAAACACCTGAATGCAGCACTGGAATAAAAACAACACATTCACAAACACCTGAACGCAGCGCTGTCGTTCTGACAGTAACAGCTGTTGACAGTTTCTGATGATCGATGTTAAATCAACTTATTGATCAATTTTATTTATGACCTTATGTATTAAAGAGAGAATAAAATCTGAAGTTTTGTAAGAGCTTGTGTGTTCAGTCTCTTCACTGTAACCCTCCTGATGATCAGAAGTCGTCTGATTTCTAAATGAAGACCAAAAGAAAATAATCTTCTCTCATCTCTAAAATCATCTTTTGGTTTGTTTTTAATCAACCCTCCTAAAAATGGGTGTGTCCAGAGGGGTGGCATGAGCCCCCCTTGAAATGTGATTGGCTATTTGCAAAAAAGTCTGGACACGCCCCCAATCAAGCACCAACAGATTTTACACTGAAAATAAACCATCAGCTGTTTCTTTGTGAACAAATTATCTTTTTTTTTTTTTTTTTTTTAATTACAAATATTTTTCAGAAACAGAACACCTGATTATAATTCATATTTTTTTTTACCATAAAGACTTTTACACGGACACGTGATTTACAGAGCGGAGGAATCAGACGAACAAAGTTTAGAGACAGAAAAACAGACGGAGAAATGTTCACGCTTGACAGGAAGGAGTAAAAAAAAAAAAAAACAAAGTGTCATTGAGAAGCGGTCAGAGTCTTGAATCTATCCGTCGCTCTGAGCGTGCTGAGCAGAGTCAGACCCATCGAGTCCACGCTCTCCTCCAGACCGAGCGCCGAGTCCACCTCCACCGTGTGGTCGTTCGCCTGAGACGCACAAAAACATGTTCTCACCGAGGGACAAACTAAGTTCTCTTTCCTTCAGAGAAGTCGGTTAAACTGAATTTTCTGTTTCTGGTCAGCTGTGTGTGTGTGTGTGTGTGTGTGTGTGTGTGTGTGTGTGTGTGTGTGTGTGTGTGTCTCACCAGCTGCAGTGACGCCAGCAGATATTTGCAGGCTTCAAAATTATCTAAACCGGCGACGATGGACGCGAAAGACCGACGCTGCCCGACGCCGTTCAATGCTCCGACGATCCGGTCGCCGTAATCGTGGATGTCAAATGCAGGACGATCCTCCTGAAGGACACACACACACACACACACACAGGAAGTGACATCATGGTTATAATCTCAGCTGATGTTCAGGTAAACTTTAATATTTAGAAGTTGTTGTTTTTTTTACCTGGATCAGCAGCTCAGGTTGGATCTTATCCTCCCAGTCTTTAACTCGTCGACTCAGAGCGGTTTCCTGAGTGTACCCTCGACTGTTCACCACCAGCTGCTCCTGAAACACACACACACACACACACACACACACACAGGTTTGACAGCTGTATGGTTGAGGGCTTTAAAGTGACACATTTTATCAGGGTTGGTCTCTTACCACTCGCAGCTTCACCAGATCTTCATAACTCAGCTCGTCTCTCTGAACGTCTGCAAACAAAGTTCATCACACATTATTTCACGTCTCCATGGTAACCGTTTGTTAGCGTGTGAGTCTCTTCCGACACTGGAGGTTATATTAAAGCGTTCTGTTTCCTGTTTTTGTAAATGTTTGGTAAAGGTCGTCTGCTGTCGCTGTACGTCTACATCGGTGAGTTTGGTAACTGAAGCTGCAGAGTCAACAACAGTTCAGGTGTGTTGTTACCTGGTGAAATAAAATCGGCTCCTCCTCCAAACTCAGCGGGAACGTCGTCAGGAAACACGTCATGTTCGTTATCGGACAAGTCGTCATCGCCACCTTCAGAATAATCACATCATAAAATATTAGAGAGCATTTTAAACTGTGTGTGTGTGTGTGTGTGTGTGTGTGTGTGTGTGTGTGTGTGTGTGTGTGTGTGTGTGTGTGTGTTACCCAGCAGGTCGGCGTGTCTGAATCCATCCACAGGCTCCTCCCCCTCCTGCTGTGGCCCTGCCTCCTCCGGCTGCAGGAACGTCCGCCTCAGCTCCTCATCAGACACCACCACGCCCTGAGTGACATCACACACTGATGACATCACACCAACAGTGACATCACAACACACACACACTCAGACTCATCGTACCGCTCTCCTGAAGATCTTCTTCCGCGTCTTCAGTTTCTCTTTCATGGCGCTCAGATAAACGTAGTTCAGGTCTGAAACAAAAAAAATAAACTTTATTTCATCAAATGTTCCAGAAACAGAAGAGATCAAACATGAAAGCAGCGAGCGTCAGATCTGCTGGAGGATCGATTGGGCTAATGTTTGGACAGAGCCAGGCTAGCTGTTTCCATCTGTTTCCAGTCATTATGCTAAGCTAAGCTAACCAGCTAATGGCTGTAGCTCCATATTAAGACAAATGTTTACCTGTGAACATGGGTCCGTTTTTTAATTTATGCTCCTTAGGATCAACTGCAAAAAAAAAAAAAAAAAAAGACTGAGTTAGTTTAACATCCTAAAGGTCTTCATCTTCATCATCATCATCATGATACAGGTGAATGTTGTCCTCACAGGTGCCTCTGAACCAGCTCCTGAAGTCCTGCAGAGCCGCTGCTCGTTTCCGTTTCCTCTTCCCTCCGTCGTCCAGGCCGTCGGGAACCTTATAACATTTCCCTGAACAGGTGAGAAAAAAAAACACGTCAGCATACCAAAAACCACAGAACGGAACCCCCCCAAGAGAGTCCTGAAACTCACCCGGCTTCGAGGGCTTCTCCTCCCCGAGGACGGCGTACAGGTCGTGGAGCGTCCACACGTTCACCTGGAACAAAAACAAAAAAAACACAGTGAGAGGAGGAGCAGAGTAACTTTATTTTAATATAATATGGACATATTTTAAAAACGGGTCCGGCTCCTGATGGAGAACGCACCGGAGGCGTCGTCTCCTTCTTCTTCAGGTTGTCGTCCTCCAGCTGTCGTCTCTCTCTGATCATCCGACCTTCACTCGGAGCCTGAGACACAAATAAAAAGAAACATTTATTATAATTAACTCAAAGAGGAGAAATGACATCACAGCCTGCAGCAGGGTCATTCGATTGGTTTACAGACTGTGAGCCTCCTGGATCAGCACAGACCTGCTGTCTCTCCACATGCTCCTCCACGTCCTGCTCCATGGGCTCGTCTTCCATCGGGAGGAAGTCGTCTGCGGCGTCGCCTCCGTTTTCTCCAACATCAGCTGAAACTACGGCAGCTTCTAAGTGAGCTTCACCTGCAGCCGCAGCGTCTGGACGGAGAGGACCTGGACGCTGCTGATCCAGAGTCTCTGCAGGTCGTTGATGGTTCTCCAGCAGGAACCTGGAAGCAGCTGATCCCAGCGTGAGCAGGATCATGTCCTCGTCTCCCGGGATGAAGATGTTGATCCTGAAGTCCTTCAGACTGCACAAGATCTCTCCTTTCACACTGAGACACACAAACACGTTGGAGAGATTTTACTGCAGCACGTCTGAAACGACTGAAGGCGAGTCGCAGCTCCAACGAGTCGAGAGCTGGTGAAGATAGTTTATCACACTGACCTGATGAGAGGAATTTTCTTCTTCTCGTAACTTTCAGGAGGAATCAGAGACTCCGGAGGAAGAGGAGCAACGCTCACAGTCTGAAGGTCACATCAGAACAAACATCAGGTAAACAGAGAGTGTGTGTGTGTGTGTGTGTGTGTGTGTGTGTGTGTGTGTGTGTGTGTGTTCAGAGAGTCAGACGGTCGTCACTGACCGTGTTGGAGTCGGCTTTCTCTGACTTCTCCGAGGCGTCGAGCTCCAGATGAGAAAACTTTACGAGACGAAACACAATCTTCAGAAGACGTTTATATCATTTCATTGATTCATCATTGTAAACAAACATGGAGAAGCAGCGTTCAGTTTTTTATTCTCCACAATCAGAAAAAAACTCCCAGAAAGTTTTAAAACACGACTGAAGACTTGTGTGTTTACATCCTTTTCTAATCCCATCCAAATGTATTCATGAAGCAAATTTTAAAAACAACAAAAGTTGATGTGTCGTCTGTCTCTACATGTCAGCTCTGTGATTGGCTGGTCCAGGATTCAGGTTTTATTTCTCACCTCGGCCACATCGTCAGCGTCATCGTGGCTCGCTGCGCCGTCTGCGTCGTCTCCCTGAGACTTTGCCGCCTGTTTGCTTCTCCTGACAGGAACAAAAAAAAAAACCTTTATTATCTCATCACCGGGACACAAACATGTTCAGGGCTGCAGGACGCTCTCACTTCTTGTTCCTGTCGTTGATGTACTCCAGAGTTTGGTAAACCAGGCTGTGCAGGAGCTCCACCTGAGACGCAGACAGGATGAGCTCTTTAAAAACTCAAGCTCACGGTTTCACATTAAGGTCGCACAGAGATTTTGATTTTACCTTCTTGCTGTAGATGCAGGCTGAACCCTGGATCAACAGAGCGGCTTCTGCAAAGTTCAGGCTGGTTTTCCCTCCGTCGAACGTGATGCACATCTCATCCA